TTGTTCACTCTCTCTATCTCTCTCTCTCTCTTTCTTTCGTTATTTCGAAAGGATAAAGTACGATACCTCGATTTAACTCTTTATGCATATAGAAGAAACGTAGAAAATCGTGCAAAGACTACGTATGAGACATAAACGGCTCAAACACCCGAAAAAGAAAAGATAAAAATATAATAAAAATGTCTGCTTTAACTACACCACGTTTTTCAATTAGTCCTTATTTTGCTGCATATGATCCAGCTAAACCTACACCAGTTATAACAAAAACTGTTGAACGATTATTATCTGATGCAGGCATATGATATTAAAAAGAATAAATTTATTCATATTCATTAATTTTTATAGGTTCATTTGGTATTTATCAAATATTTGTTTTTCTTATAATTGGTCTTCTTGCTGTTATTCCATCAATGGTTAGTTTTTCCTATGATTTTAATCTTGGTACACCAGATCATCGTTGTCGTTTATCTTCTAATGATACATATGATAAACCATCTGAAATGTATAAAATATTTCTCAATAGTTTACATTTAACAGCTACTGAATATGATAAAAAATGTACAATGTTAAATAATAAATCTTCATTAATATTTAAACCTTGTGATCAAGGTTGGATTTTTGATATGAATAAATATGGTGAAACACTTACAACAGAACTTTCACTTGTTTGTGATAAATTTCATTTACGAGCATTAACACAAAATATTTATTCAGCTGGTGTAACTGGATCTATATTAACAGGTCTTTTATCCGATAGATGGGGTCGTCGAAAAACAATTTATTTACTTGTTATTATATTAATTATTGCATTAAATACAATGCAATTATTTTTATATTCACCAACACATAAACTTCTTGTTTTTACAATATGTCGATTTTTTCAAGGATTTGCAACAACATTTTTTCCAGTTTCACTTGTTCTACTTTTAGAAATAACTGGACCAAATCGACGTGTTTTAGCTGCTAATACACTTGCATATTCATATGTATTAGGTCAAATTATATTAGCTATTATATCAAGACAATTAAAAGATTATAAATTAACATATTGGGCATTAAATATATATGTTTTACCATTTGTATTTATTTATATACTTATACCTGAATCACCACGATGGTTGGTACAACAAGGTCGTGTTATGGAAGCAAGGAAAATATTTGAAAGAATATTTTTAATAAATCGTCGACCATTAAAGAATCGATTAGAAGTATTTTATTCACGTTTACCAACTGATGTTATTGCTGCTAGAGAAGCTGAACAAAAAATTCCGAATTATTTAAATGTATTAAAACGGCTTTGTCAATCGAAATTCATGAAAAAAAGATGTTTACTTCTTATTGCTGTTTGGGCAGTAGCTGTTTCTGTTTATCTAGGTATGTTTCAATAATAGAACAAACTGAATCATTTCTTTTTTTTCCCAAGAATTTCATTATGTCCTTAGTATTACAATAGATTTGATGCGTTTGAATGTAAAATATATAATACAAGATAGATATTTAAAAATTTTTTCAACAATAAATTGTAGAAGATATTTTTAACTGCATCATAGAGGGAATCTTTCTAGGTGTGAAATCGCTTTTCGATCCAACAAATGTTCATTTGATAAGTAATATAAAAATCCAGAATGGTTTCGTTTTCCAGATCTTCGTCCTTGAAATATCGAAATTTTATTGGATTTTGCGTCACTTCTTCTAGTATTTTTCATTCTGAGATATTCAATATTCGAAATTCTCTCATGTGTAAAAAGCAAATTTTGTTCATCTTCAGAAAGGAAATCCTAGAAAAACGAAAACTTGCATAATCAACTAATCTTATTAAGAACTTTGTTCATGCAAAGTTCGAAGTCAATATTCGAACATTGATTTTCCACGTAATATGAGGTTACTCATCAAATGAACATCGTCTCAGTCGAAAAGCAATATGACACTTGGAGTCATCTACGGTTAATTATCTTGAGAGGTTTTCTTTTTTGTTTTGAATCATTGTTTATAAGATGTCGTCAAAAAAAGATCATGACAAAAAAAACAAAGTATTCTATTGAATTTTTATAAAGGTATCAGTAGTGCATTACCTGCACTTACAAATCAACCTCACGAATTATTTATAGCTGGTGCTATTTGTGAAATGATTGGTCTTGGTGTATGTCATGCACTTGCATCACTTGTTGAACGACGCCGTCTTCTTATTGTATTTTTTATTGCAACTGCTCTTGCTTTAGCACTTATACCTGTTACATATGATAAACAACCAGATGGTAATAATTTTAATAATTAATTAAATATATCTAATTTAATTTTTTTTTAGTAAGTCTTGCCTTTGCTTTAATTGGTAAATTAACAGCATCATCATGTCAATTATTAATTGTTGTCTATACAACTGAAACATATCCAACAGCTCTTCGTTCGACAGGTGTTGGTTTATCAGCATGTATAGCACGTCTTGTTGCAATGATGGGACCACAGCTTTCAGCTACTCAATATTCAGTTTGGTTCCCATTACCATATACTGTTTATTCATTAGCTTCATGCTTAGCTGCTTTAGCTGCTACTCAATTACCACATACACATTCACCATGTAAATTACCTGAAACAGTTCGTGAAGTTGAAAAACAGCATACAGAAATAATACCTATTGTACCACCATCGACACAAACACTTGATCAACGAAGACCATCATCAGCACTTATTAGAGAATTAGGTGTAGTAAAACGAAAACCACCCAAATCAGTTATTTTTTTAACTTCAAAATCTCGTTCAAGACGTTATACAACTGAAGTTAATCTTGCTCAACAAGAAAATACTGATCTTCGTCTTCCAACAATTAATGATATGAATGAAGATGAAGTTTGTTAATGAATTAATCTTGTTTCATAAGAATGTTTTTTTTTTGTTTTTTATTTTTTTTAGGATGAAAATATAACTGTTGCCAATCATTCTGCATCTATTATATCTCGTATTAGTTCATTGCCTACTCGTTTATTTTTACTTCAGCAAAATAATAGTATTTCTGATGTTCCGATTCAGAAAATTTAAATTATCATTCAATTTAATAAATAATTTCTTTTGATTTTAGACAAAGATAATAATGATAATAATAATAATAATAAATATAATTAAATTCTTTTTTCATTGATATAACTTAAAGAATTTGAATTGATGTTTCTAAAACAAAAAACATTTCCTAAGAACATCTACAGATAACTATACACATGTTCATCAAAATCAAAAACATGAACACGTTGAATCAAACTATTTCATTTTCTCTTATTAATATTGACTTGGATGATTTATTGCTAACTCATTCAAATCAAATAACTTCAGTTTCTGTTGTCGCCATTTCTCGTGTTAGTAAATTCGTAAAGAAATTTCAGATCAATGAAAACAAATATATTTTTACTACACACAAAAAACTGTTTACATTCAATAGTTTTTAAAAGTAATGTTCTTTCTAATGATTGTGTGGCGTTTTATATACTGTTCATCATCAATCTTGTTTATATATATTTTGATATTGCAAGCTTTTGTTTATCCTGAATACATATAAAAATGTTCTACAATATCATCTAAATCATCATCCATAACATGTGATTTCAATATATAAAATTCTGCTGGTGACTCTAAGGCTTTTCGTGAGAGATTATAGCGTAGTTTTATTTAAATTATTTAAGTATCAGATATTAAGCTGGATTTTGTACATAGTATTTTGTAGTCTCTATTAAATGAATTTTCGATATGTTAAAGATAAAAACATACTTTTTGACATAGATGTCTTATCTTCCATTTTTTTAAAATATATCTCTCTTTAAAATATAACATGATTTAATTTCTCTTTGAAAGAAAAAACTTGATTCTCTTTTTGAAAAAAATTGGAAACAGAACTTTGCTCTGACATAATCAATTAATCCAATCGAAAGATTAAAAATGTTGCCTATCTATAACACAAAAAATTCTAAGGAGAAAGATCGAACATCAGAAAAAATTTAGGAGAGAGAAATCATTCTGTTACTTCCTCCTAATCGTGTGACATATTTATATTAGTTAATAAATGATTTGAATTCAGAATGTATCAGTCTCACTCATTGACAAGTATCTTATAGATATATAATAACCAAATCTATAATTAATCTTCTTATCATAGTGAGAGCTATTTTGACTTGTACTTGATAAATAATATTCATATGTATAAATAAAAACAAGCTTCGAACAAATAAATATACCTTTTAAGTAAAAGAATATAAACTAATTCTACACAATGTAACAATCTAATTCTTCTTAATATTATTCGATGAAAATTATTTTCAATTTTTTTTTCAAAATCAATAGAAAATTTAATCAAATGTCTTTTCCAATGAATTTTGAAACTCTTGTGTTCATTAACAGATATTATCATCTCATTTATCTAATGCTTAACTTTGTATTAAACTCATAAAAGAAAACAAAAAAGATTCATAAATTAAGAATCAATTGTTAATTAACCTTCGATTCAATGGAGACTTATAGAACTCAATACCATATAGAAGAATAACAAAAGGCTATTTGTTGTACTTCACTGTTTGAATTTAAGTTTAGGAAATAAGATTAAAAAAAAATTGTCTGTTTTTTTTTACGCATCTTATTTGTTATATACAACATAGTTGTTTTTCTTCTTCGCAATATGGTACAAGTTAAAAAGTGTAGCTCATAAGCAACCTTGAGTTAAAAAGCGTCTATTTGTATTAATCGAAGGAAGAAAAGGAAAAGTGAGAGAAAGGTAATGAGGCGTAAAATCGACGTAGATACACGAAGCGACAGCTCTGTTTTTTTTTTACTCAAGTGAATATATTTGTTTACGTAAAACGTGAAGGTGAGCTTTTCTATTGATAAGTCACCGTTCTTATATTCATTCTGTATATATTCATTCACTACATACCGACGTGTGTGTGTTTACGTCAATTATTTATATAAAAAAAAAACAAGTCAATCACAAGGACAAAATACATATTTCAATAGCAGCTCTAAAAATGGCTACTAGTACGAATACAAATCCTGAAAACGTGCTCAACACACAGAATACCAATATAAATGACAGTGATAAAAAGAGAAACGAAGATGAAGACGCAAAAAATTTAGGATTTTCATCCAATATTAATACTCAAGAAGATGATGGTACAACAACAAAAGAAAATTTCAATGATTTAACGAGAATCGAAAAAATCGAAACATCATCATCCGAACAATCAATTGCTTTCAATGATCCAGTAAAAGTAACAATAACATTAGTACAAGCTACCAGTGAAGATAAGGTACAGGAACAAAACCTTTTATCATCATCGTCAACAACATCAACAACAATAACAACAACAACACAACAGGTCAGCGATTTAACAGAACTTGCTAACGTCGGAACATCAACATCAGAACAATCAATTACTATTAATGATCCAGTGAAAGTAACAATTACAGTAGTGCAAGATACAAATGAAGATAAGACATCAAAACGTACACCGTCGTCACCAACATTATCTACAACAAAACCAGTGACAGATAAAACTGATAACTTGACAAAAACAGAAAAAATAGAAACAATACTATCAGAACCATTTATAGAAGTTTCCGATCCGATAACAATATCCAAATTTGAAAGTCCTACTAATGAGTATGAAACAGCCGGACAACTACCTTCATCATCAACAACAACGACTACTTCTACAGAGAAGAAAGAGAAGTCAACACCTGTATTTCATTTGTCCTCTCAACCTACTGACGAGGACATTATAGTAAAAGAGACAATAACCACAACAACGGTTATTGAACCATCGGAAACACAAACAGTAGCCTACACTTCGCCTGAAATAAAGGAAGAAGCACCTGTATTTCATTTGTCCTCTCAACCTACTGACGAGGACATTATAGTAAAAGAGATAATAACCACAACAACGGTAATTGAACCATCGGAAACACAAACAGTAGCTTACACTTCGCCTGAAATAAAGGAAGAAGCACCTGCTTTAACTTCTTCCATAGTACCTAAACATGACACTAAGAAACCAGAAGAAATAGCAACAACTGTTACTTCTATCGAAGACAAAAAGAATTCAGAACCTACTCTACTTTCCGCTGCTCCAGGTGTTGAACAAAATAAAGAAACTGGAGAGATTATAACTACAACAACAATCACTGATACCATTACAGAAGACAAGAATGAATCAGTCTCTAAACCAACTTCTTCTGCTGCAACTAATGATGATGACAAGAAGAAAACGACAACAATACCAGCTGTTAGTTCCCGTGAAGAAATAAAAGAAGCACTTACATCATCTCCGATAGTTCCATCTACTAGTGGTGATAAAAAACTGGAAGAAACTAGAACAATTGTTTCCTCTAGTGAAGAAGACAAAGAATCGCAACCTGTATTAGGTACTTCCACACCAAGTTTTGGAGAGAACATCAAATCCGAAGAAGCTCGAACTACGGTAGAGAATCCTATTTCAACTACTAATGACAATACGAAGAAACAAGTATCAACATCTTTGAATAACTTTCCTATAGTGAAAGGTAACGCGCAAAATCTGACCGATTTCCAACGAAAAAAGGCTGAATACTTCTTCAATGTCAATCTTGGTATGTTGATTTCTGTGAATGAAATAATAGACATTGAATTGTACTTTTAAAGAATGATTGGATAAACAAATTTTCGAAATTTCTGTATATATATATATATGTAGATTTTTATTTAAAACAAAAACTATTTTAGACACTCAAAACAAGAAGTTTGTGACTTGGGAAGATGTTGAATCTTATTTATTGGTAAGAAAATAAGAAAAAAAAAATTTCAGTCTTTATGTTGCTTTCGTTCGTAGTTTCATGTCAGGACTGCAGGAAAAGAAGGTGCAAACGATGGTGACTTAGAAACACAATTAAGTCGAGCTGCACGAGCTCTTTGGGAACATATTCATGATCAAGTTCCATTGACTGACGGAAAACGGGACCGACTAACTTTAGATCAATTTCTTGATACATGGGCCAGCCTCATTGATCATATTGTAAAAAATGGACAATTACCAGATCTGGTGCAAAATTTAGTTAATCTTGGGTTCGAGTTATATTCAACAAAGGCTGGTGACGATAAATCACCTACAATTCCAGCATCTGCTTTTGAACAGCTCTTTCAGCAAATAAATCTTGGTCGTTCTTATGCTCTGATAGCATATAATTTCCTTACTGAAGTATGAATTATTTATCCTCACTATTTCTCGCTTTGTTTATCTTTACATATTTTCTATCTAGGACAAAACCAAACCATTGGATGCTGATAGAATTAGTTCGATTGTACGAGCAGTGATCACATCCTCAGATGATGGACATCACTCGCACTTTCTCCTGCCAGGATTCTTCAAAACAATAAGGAACACGACCAATCAAAGAGATGGCCTAATCACGTCACCCCCGCCAGGTCAAGGTAAAACATGCAACAACTATTTCTCGCTTCGCATGCTATGAATATGAAAAGAATATGCCAGAACGTTTTAATTTTTCTCAATCTCTACTCGGCGGCTCTCATGAAATTATTCTTTTTGAACTATCAACATGCAGTTTAATATCAACTGATAAAGAATATATTTGAGAAATATACACCAGTTAACCGAACTGGGACTGTCCCACTAGATGTAGACTTCGAATATGCATGGAATAGAGTATGCAAAAAAAAGTGATTCCAAAGCAGTAATTTTAGAAGACGATCACTTTTTTATATAATAGCTTTCCAAACTGAAGAAATACTCTTTCCCATAGGATATCTTTTCTAAAATTTTAATCTTTGACATGCGTCATAAATAAATGATTCGTTCGACGTATCAAAAAATATTTTAATAGATAAACTTCAATTTTCACCTAATATTTCGAATTTATTCTTTTTCCATCACGATTAATCAGATAGTAGTGACAAACAAACGTCATCGTCTACTTCTTTAGCTTCTCAATCACAACAATTTATTCGACCACAACAACCAGGTGGACCACAACAATTTATTCGACCACAACAACCAGGTGGACTGCAACAGCCAGGTGGACTGCAACAGCCAGGTGGACTACAACAACCAGGTGGACCACAACAATTTGTTCGACCACAACAACCAGGTGCACCACAACAATTTATTCGACCACAACAACCAGGTGCGCTACAACAATTTATTCAGCCACAACAACCAGGTGCACCACAACAATTTATTCGGCCACAGCAACCAGGTGGACTACAACAACCAGGTGCACCACAACAATTTATTCAGCCACAACAACCTGGTGGACTACAACAACCAGGTGGACTACAACACCCAAGTGGACTACAACAACCAGGTGGACCACAACAATTTATTCGACCACAACAACCAAGTGGACTACAACAACCAGGTGGAGTACAACAACTAGGTGCACCACAACAATTTATTCGGCCACAACAACCAGGTGGACTACAACAGCCAGGTGGGCTACAACAACCAGGTGGACTACAACAACCAGGTGGACTACAACAGCCAGGTGGGCTACAACAACCAGGTGGACTACAACAGCCAGGTGGACTACAACAATTTATTCAACCACAACAGCCAGGTGGGCTACAACAACCAGGTGGGCTACAACAACCAGGTGGACTACAACAACCAGGTGGACTACAACAGCCAGGTGGGCTACAACAACCAGGTGGACTACAACAGCCAGGTGGACTACAACAATTTATTCAACCACAACAGCCAGGTGGACTACAACAACCAGGTGGACTACAACAGCCAGGTAGATCACAACAACCAGGTGGACTACAACAGCCAGGTGGACTACAACAGCCAGGCGGACTACAACAACCAGGTGGACTACAACAGCCAGGTGGACTACAACA